AAAGAAAAAATGTAAAAAAAGACTCAAGAAAGAAAGAAAGAAAGAAAGAAAGAAAGAAAGAAAGAAAGAAAGAAAACTCGATAAGGAAAAGTTAATGGGTGTAAAAGAAAGAAAGACGTTACGTAAAGAAAAGTTAGAAACAAATAAAAAGTGAAAAATGAAAGAAAGAACAAAAGAAAAAAGTAAAAATGAAAAAAAAAGAAAGAAAGAAAGAAAGAAAGAAAAAAGAAAAAAGAAAACTCTCGATAAAAAAAAAAAAGAAAGAAAGACGTTACGTAAAAAAAAGTTAGAAAAAAAAAAAAAAAAAATGAAAGAAAGAACGAAAGAAAAGTAAAAAGAAAAAGAAAAAAGAAAGAAAGAAAAGAAAAAAGAAAAAAAAAACTTATAAGGAAAAGAAAAAAGAAAGAAAGACGTTACGTAAAAAAAAAGTAAAAAAAAAGAAAGAACAAAAGAAAAAAGTAAATAAAGAAAGAAAGAAAAAAGAAAGAAAGAAAGAAAGAAAAAAGAAAAAAACTCAAGAAAAGAATGGGTGTAAAAGAAAGAAAAGTTACAAAAGAAAAGAAAGTTAAAAAAAAGAAAGAACAAAAGAAAAAGTAAAAAGAAAGAAAGAAAGAAAGAAAGAAAGAAAGAAAGAAAACTCGATAAGGAAAAGTTAATGGGTGTAAAAAGAAAAAAGACGTTACGTAAAGAAAAGTTAGAAACAAATAAAAAGTGAAAAATGAAAGAAAGAACGAAAGAAAAAAGTAAAAAACTCGAGAAAAGAAAGAAAAGAAAGAAAGAAAAAAGCAAAAAAAGAAAGAACGAAAGAAAAGAAAAGAAAAGAAAATTCGAAGAAAGAAAGAATGAAAAGAAAAAAGAAAATTGATAAAGAAAGAAAAAGAAAGTTACGTTAAAAAGAAAAGTTAGAAACAAATAAAAAGTGAAAAATGAAAGAAAGAACGAAAGAAAAAAGTAAAAAGACTCGAGAAAGAAAGAAAGAAAGAAAGAAAGAAAGAAAGAAGAATGAAAGAAAGAATGAAACTTCTATATGGTTGGATTGAAATTACATTGGCGTTTAATTTGTCTTTCATTGTTTCTAATGAATTGTTTTTGTTTCATCATGTTTTCTCTAACCTTTTAAATAGGTACTTCCACGAGATCGCTAAAATTCAGCATAGCATGATGAAAACATGCTTCAAACGTAATGAAGACATTGTTTTATCGTTAAATTCATTGTTATTATTAAGAGAAAGGATCAAAGTATTTTTTTTTTTTTGATATTTTATTAAATGTTTTACTCCTTTTTAAAACATTCGAAATTTTCATTAAAAAACTTTTTTTGCATCAACGATTGTACTTTTAGCATAGGAAAATTTTCGCCTCTTTTTTGCGGTGATAGCCACATTAATTTTAAAATTCTTGCAAAAATCAAATAACTGCCAGATTTTAATTAAATTTTCGGAACTTATTCACAAAAGAATTAAATTATTTTTTAATGATTTTTATTAAAAATTGGTAAAAGAATTTTTTTTATTTTACATAACTTTCTACCCCTTACTTATTTTATGAAACCTTGAGAAATTCGAGATAATTTTTAGTGACTATGCTAATTAAAAGCAGAATTTTTTTAAAGAATTTAAATCATCGATTTTTTTTTTTTTTTTTTTGCAAAAATTTCTGTTCTGAATCGAAAAATAAAAAACGCAATAAAGCTAAAACATTATTTAATTAGAGACGCTTTTAATTGCTTTTATGAATATATATTATATTATAAAGAAATTTTTCAGTGAAAAAATGAATTTTTACAAGATTTATTTTCATTTTTTACAATTTTTTATAATTTAAAATTAATAATTTATAAAGTTTTTTAATCTATTAAAGTTCAATTTCGATGAGATCATTTTTAGGGAATATTGTTATTAAGTAAAACTATATTTACTAATCATATATTATAAAGCTTATTACAATCTGAAGACCCCCGACTATTCTTAAAAGAATTTTGATTTGTTTTTATATATGTATATAGTTACAGAATCTCTGAAGTATAGATGTGCAAACAGATAAATTTATTCTTAAAAGGTCACGTGTTTTAAGGGTTGTCAAAAAAAAAACTAATGAAATTTATCATCTGCTACACCATACTTAACTATGAACACGTTCGGTGGTCAATCCGCCGTCAATAAATCGATTAACACATCAGAAAAACAAAATCCGGTGCTTAGGAAATGCTATAAGTAAGTAATATTATTACTTATGCTATAAGTAAGTAATATTTGTTTCAAATCAGATTAACTTAACTTTAAATTTGCCAATTTTCCTCAAATAACGTTTCAGAAATATATATTTTATTCTTGCAAGATTTTTAAAACGGAAAATTAAGTTTTGTTTACAAATGTCTAAGAAATGGCTGGCATTATCGATTTTACTGAAAAAAATGCAATCTATTCCATTCAATATAATTTATGTTTGAAATACACCAAAATATTTTGTTTGCCGAGTATATTAAATTTAATTTTTCAGCTTTCATTTGAAGTTAAATTGAATGCTTCAAGAAAACTTTTTCATTTTTAAAAATTGATTTTAAATCTTATGTATACCCAATTCGTAGAGGTGCCTACTTTAAGAAAGCATATTTCGCTATTCCAATACACTTCGTATTTCTGTCATATTTTCTGTCTATAACACTTCACAATGTGTATGACTTTTCTTTCCATGTCTGTCATCAATATGGTGTAATCTACGTAGTATAAGCTGATAAGATTTTGTCCGCCAATAAGCAATCCGTATAAAACATCTAATTAGTTGATTGAGGGGATTCTCAGAGAATTCTCTGAGAATCCCCTCAATGTATAGATTAAATAAATCCGGAAAGATGACGCATTGATTTCTTATGCAAGGATTTTCCCCAGTAAATGTTATGGATGATTTGAAATAAAGTTTCCGTAGCAGTTCAAATAGTTTTTTGTGTCGCACCTTATCAAATTTTTTTTTTAGTCTATGAAACACATCTTTCTGCATTTGCTCCTATATAAGTGTTATAGTCGAATACACCTATTCTATTGTTAATAGACTCTCCCACCTATAATAAGTAGGAGTAGTAGCAGTCGCCGTGTCGCTCAGTGAGTTGGTCAGTCAGTCGATGTCGGACGACCGTTAGTCGGATATTAAAGTATCAGCCACCCCAACGAGATTACTGCGTTATACCTATTATATCAAGTTCCTAACGTTTTGTACGTCGAACCTTTTTTAGGACCGACTTAGTACAAATACAAGCCTCCACTGTGAAACCACTCTACAACAATAAGTTTATCGATAAAGACCCTATTTCATGTCCCAGTATCTGGTCTTGCTCTATTTCCGGTCTAATTCTGCTACGCAGAATATGGATGAGAATTTTCGATACGTAGCTCATAAAAACTGATTGTCTCTTAAGGTCTTCCAGTATTTCACCATTGTTGTTAATTTAATATTTCCATAATCTTGTCGATCCGGGAATCGTCGGAGGCTGATAGATTCTCAGTTAGAATTATATCTAACTGAGAATATTATTATCTGCTGCTTTGTTCCTGTTCATCTTGTTCAATGCCTTATATTAATTGAGACCTTAATATTTCAGATCTTTCCGCGTTTTTATGTTTTCCCTCTTTCGTCGTAGAAGAGTTCACCTATATCTTGTTACGGTTTTTTGGGTCTATACCGTATAGGACTAGTGAGCGAGTCAAAATGACTTATTTCCCTTTATAGTCGACCAATAGAAGGTTGACCAATCGGAAGCCGCCCAACACTGTATCCGTCGTGTATAAAGGCGGCCATCTTTGTTTTACCAGAGGCAACTTGTCCGGCGAACAGGACGGACGGAAGAACTACGCTCTGCTAGCTTGCTACGATATCCACCGCGTACCTGAACTACGATTTCCTACTGTCTCCGAAATATTCACTGCCAACCTCTGGATTCTATACTCGAAGACGACCGCCATGAAAATGTCTAACATATCTTTCTTCCATCTTGCTTTGGCGTTCTTTAAGCTATAGACTTCTTTTTTCTTTTCCTCAAAGCAGAACGAAAATTTTTGGTTTAATGGAAACCGTTAAAGTCTAGAAAGATTATTAAACCTTTACATTATTATCGGTGGTTTGCAGGAGCAACTCGCACTTTTATGGGTGTTCAAGGTTACTTATTGCCAATGGAATACGGAGGGAATGTGGGTGATTTCTTATAATATAAGTGGCATGGTGGATCCTATCCGTGAAGTTTAGACCTGACGGATGCAATTTTAGTTTCTTTATTTCTTTTTATTTTACAGAAAGGTTTCAACTTGTACAAGGCCCGGGGGCCACGCGAAGTAGAGGCTTACGATAAGGTTACTTATTGCCAATGGAATACGGAGGGAATGTGGGTGATTTCTTATAATATAAGTGGCATGGTGGATCCTATCCGTGAAGTTTAGACCTGACGGATGCAATTTTTGTTTCTTTTTTTTCTTTTTATTTTACAGAAAGGTTTCAACTTGTACAAGACCCGGGGGCCACTCGAAGTAGAGACTTACGATAAGGTTGCTTCTCGCCGATGAAATACAGAGGGAATGTGAGTGATTTCTTATAATATAAGTGGCATGGTGGGTCCTAGCCGTGAAGGTTAGACCTGGTGGAACCAATGAATGTAGTTCGTTCGAACACTTTCCATTGAATTAACAATAGAGCAGAGAGAGGCTCGTCTGTAAGACAGAGGCCGGAAGGTGGAAAATAATTCGCCAACCACAAGGACTCGGAATCGCTTTTGGACTCAATCGAGACTGGAATATGAGAAGTGGGTAGCACCAGCCAGAATATAACAGCAGGACACCATTTCAAGGTAAAATAAAAATAAAAAAAGTTTGAAAAGTCGTAAAGAAACAAAACAGAAAATTTGAAAGAAAGAAACTCTGAAAATTATACAAACTCTTAAGACGTTCATGACAGGCGCCGGTGGTAAACATACAACCGCGAACACGGGGCGGTGTAGAGGACTGTGTGCGTTAATGTGAGTTTGTATTAGAAACACGTGTGTAACTCCTGGTAGAATATTAAAAGGTCCAACGACAAGAAAATGACTGGACTTGAATTAAGTTCAACTGAAGATAAAGAAGACAAACAAGACCGATATATATAAACAAATATATGTATTAACTGTGATGGGTCCTTACCTATAACTACAGAATGAACTCTTCCTAACACTATGTATACTACGCCTCTCAAGAGAGAGTGTCGAGTCAAGCCGAGCTTCTCGGCTTGACGGTCGAACTCTCTGCCTCTGAGCAGAGAGGAACCCGGACGAGGCTCCGCCGAAGGGCAGAGTCTCGTTCGGGGAGAAATGACCAACCCGATCCTGTTTATATGGGTTATACGGGCATTTTTTGGCCAAGCCTACGGGCTCGGGAAACCCACGTAAAAACTCGGTCTTGTGCCACATGCAACCCTCGTGGGGGGGGTTCTAGATAACGAATCAAGCCGAGCTTCTCGGCTTGACGGTCGAACTCTCTGCCTCTGAGCAGAAAGGAACCCGGACGAGGCTCCGCCGAAGGGCAGAGTCTCGTTCGGGGAGGTTGACCAACCCGTTCCCGTTTATACGGGTTCTACGGGCATTTTTTTGGCCGAGCCTACGGGCTCGGAAAAGCCACGTAAAACTCGGCCTTGTGCCACTGGTAACCCTCGTGGGGTGGGGTGGCTAAATACCGAATTGAGTCGAGCCGATAGTAGTTCACTCCAAACCAGACTGACAGTCATACTAACACCTTCCACATCTTGTATTATTATTTCGTGTAATATACCTTCGTTATTTCTACTCTTGTGTTCGTGTTGTTTTTCCTTGGTCCTAACCTTGGACCATAACATTAACAACAAACCACAAAGCACATAGACAATAATACGTGTGTGTGTGTGTGTGTGTGTGTGTGTGTGTGTGTGTGTGTGAACATTTGTGTTTGTTCTTTGGTGAATGTTCGTACGTGCGTGTATGCGTGTAATGTTCATAGCGTCTTCCCAGAAGTGGGAAACGCTGTCTTTTGTAAGAGCTCACAATTTAGCGGTGTTCGCTGAAATGAAGAAATGAAAAAGAGGATTCGCCTCACCTCCACGCGAGGTGGGATGCGGCACGGGGCCTGAAGGAACGACAGCGAGGCAAGAAGTCGCCCAGTATTTATAGTATAGGGAGAATGACCCCTAGTGACAATTTAGGAATTAAGGACGAGGTAACTCCGACAATATGAGAAGTGGGTAGTACCCACCAGAATATAACAGCAGGGCGCCATTTCAAGGTAAAATAAAAAAAAGTTTCAAAAGTCGAAAAGAAACAAAACATAAAGTTTGAAAGAAAGAAACTCCAAAAATTATACAGACTTTCAAGAAGTTCATGACAGCGCTGGTGGTAGACATACAACGGCGAACACCGGCGGGAACAGGCAAAATGCATTGTAGACATCGGATGAGTAAAATTAGTAAGACTGTTTGGTGTTGTCTTCGTTTGGATTATTATCAAGATGTCACTTCACGCCACCGAGGTTCACACAAAAATATCGTTGGCTGTGTTTTAAATAAAGTTGGTCTTGTCAGGCTTGGAGATATCCGCTTCTATATCCAACTGGCTTTAGTAGTTTTAAAATACCGGCTTTCGTTATTTCTGTCTCTCTGAGAAGAAAGCATCAAAACGGTTATTCAGTTGCATCGACGAATTAAGCAGCGTCAAAGATATTATTGATGACAGCAAATATTTACAAGATAGATAGATAGATAGATAGATAGATAGATAGATAGATAGATATGAATAGACTGAGATAAACAGACTAGAATAAGATAGATAGATAGATAGATAGATAGATAGATAGATAGATAATGAATGAATAGATAATGAAGAACAGACTGTGATAGATATATAGATATATACATAGGTAGGAACAGATTGAAATAGGTAGATAGGTATTAGGTAGGTAGGTAGACAGATAGGGACACACTGAAATAGATAGATAGATAGATAGATAGATAGATAGATAGATAGATAGATCATGAACAGACTAAAAAAGAAATTAATAGGGATAGATAGATAGATAGATAGATAGATAGATAGATGAATAGATGAATGTGAACAGACTGAGATAGATAGATAGATAGATAGATAGATAGATGAATAGATAGATGAATAGATAGATGGATCATGAACAGACTAAAAAAGAAATTAATAGGCATAGATAGATAGATAGATAGATAGATGGATAGATAGATAGATGAATGAATATGAATAGACTGAGATAAACAGACCAGAATAAGATAGATAGATAGATAGATAGATAGATAGATAGATAGATAGATAGATAGATAGATAGTGGCCAAACGGAGATAGATAGATAGATAGATAGATAGATAGATAGATAGATAGATAGATGGATAGATGAATGATAGGGCCAAACGGAGATAGATAGATAGATAGATAGATAGATAGATAGATAGATAGATAGATATTGAATATGAAACAGAGCTCAGGCCGTGCATCGAAATTAAAGATAAATCTCGAAGGGATGACTGAAATAATTAGGAGGGAAATGGGGTGGAGAAGAATTAAAATTACATCAAATATTCTTGTATTATTTCAAACTGTTGTCCGCATCTTGGATTTTGTTATATATATATATATATATATATATATATATATATATATATATATATATATATAATATAGAAAATATATAGAAGGAACAGGTTAGGAAATATCCAAAGTCCCTTAGTATTTTAGTTATCATTTTTAAAAATAGTGCTCGATACAAAAAGTAGAGCATAACATAATTATTTACTTAAAATATGATTCCAAAACGCGACATAAGAAGTCTCATGTTTCAAAACAAGAGCCAAAACTTCAATGTAATTATTTGAATTAAATTGAGTTAAAGTGAGCTCTGTTCCATCTTCAAGCGAAGTTTTCGGCTCTTGTTTTGAAACATGAGACTTCTTATGTCGCGTTTTGGTATCATATTTTTAAATAAATAATTATATATATATATATATATATATATATATAGACACAACGTTTCAGGTAGTGAAACAATATTGGGTATCACAGAGAGAAGATATCCCAATGATCGACTGATGTCCCATATCCGCCAATCGTTGTGTCTATAAAAATCCTCAGCTCAGAGAACAATAGTTCGAAATAATACGAGATTATTGACAAAAATCCCATATCAGCCAATCAATGGACACCTGATGATGACCAATGCGTACTTGGTCGAAACGTTGTGTCTATAAGAACATCTATATCAATCCAGATGAGAACAATAGGCCGAAAAGGTACGAGATTATTAACAATTACTCGTGTCAGGAATTAAAGGCTAAATTACGAAAAGGTGGAACGAACACGACATGATAACTAAATATAGTAAAATCTGAAAGTGAATATAAAACTAAGGCTTGAAAAACACACGAGAAAATATCCTCCGAGACGATAGCGTAGCGCATATAGGAAATGGTTTATATAATTTCATCATTATTATGTCATCAAATGGTCACGCGGATCTGATATCGTATCAGTCAGTTAATTGAAAATTACTTATTTCAGAAATGAAATACTATTACATCAGATAAATAAATTGCAAATTGACGAGGGAAATCCGAAAGAGTTGGCCCTCCCCAATTTGGTGGAATGAATTTTTGTGAAAAAAATAATTGACTTTGAAATTACTCAAAAGTGGTCTGATAAGGATAAATATTTGCTTGGATTTCCGACCTGAAATCTGATCCGAGAGAAAAAAAAAAGTTTTTAATACTACGAGGCTAAAATCATAAGGTGGATGTTATTTTTGCCATGACCATCTACCATCTCTTGCCCAAAGAGACAGTGAAATGATCCAGATGAAGGTGGAAGTTTTGTTTTTTTCATAGAACAATTACAAAAATAGCAGAGATAGATAGATAGATAGATAGATAGATAGATAGATAGATAGATAGATAGATATGTACAGACTGAGATAGATAGATAGATAGATAGATAGATAGATAGATAGATAGATAGATAGATAGATGTGAAAAGATTTAGATAGATAGACTAGAACAAGATAGACAGAGACGAACAGACTTTGATAGATAGATAGATAGATAGATAGATAGATAGATAGATAGATGTTGTGGATTCCGAGATGAAATCCGGTCTCCAATGAATGACAAACGCAGGAATGAAATATAACAAATAAATGTATTTACACAATAATACAATTGGTAATACGGTTAGTAGATCCAGAAACGCGGTTACTAGCAATAATAATAATATATATATATACATTCGGGTAAATTCAGTCTCGAAGTAGGACTTCCTTAGAGTCTCCGTGCTTGTGACTGTGACTTCGACAAGCGGTTACCTCACACTATCGCTCTACCTCCAACTCAATCACAATCTCTACTCTGATTGACTTTGGGTTTTTAACGGCAGCAGTCCAATTACACACTGGTCGAGTCCACGTATGAAAAAAATGGTGGACCCCATAACAATAGATAGATAGATAGATAGATAGATAGATAGATAGATAGATAGATAGATAGATATGAACAGAGATAGATATGAACAGACTTAGATAGATAGATAGATAGATAGATAGATAGATAGATAGATAGATAGATAGATATGAACAGACTTAGATAGATAGATAGATAGATAGATAGATAGATAGATAGATAGATAGATAGATATGAACAGACTTAGATAGATAGATAGATAGATAGATAGATAGATAGATAGATAGATAGATGTGACCAAACTGAGATAGATAGAAAGAGAGATAAATGTGACCAAACTTAGATAGACAATGAACAGATATAAACATAGATAGATAGATAGATAGATAGATAGATAGATAGATAGATAGATAGATAGATAGATATGAACAGGGATAGATATGAACAGACTTAGATAGATAGATAGATAGATAGATAGATAGATAGATAGATAGATAGATATGAACAGACTTAGATCATTATCGAGCCAATGCGAACGATACTGTCCTTTTGCTGTATCGTATGTGCTACGCCAGGATTACATAGAGTTTTTGAATTCAGAGTTACTTTCTCCTTAGCTATAGAACCCAATCTGTCCTAATATTTATCCATACCATGGGAGGGGGAGAAAAAGAGGATTTATTCCTTTCCCAAGGTATAATAGTAGTAATGTTCAATCAAACTGCCTCGTTAATCACAACACAATTCCGAGGAGCCTTGCGGAGATTAACATGAAAAGATTAGCACCTAATGGAATGCAGTGGATTTGATTGGAATTCGAACTCGGCTCTCCGATTCCTCAATCAGAGCCGCTATTCTTAACTCCACCGTGAGAGAGAGAGAGAGTGAGAGAGAGAGAGAGAGAGATGAACATACTTATATAGATTTAAACAAATGTATGATAAAACTATGAGATAGATAGATATGAATAGACTACTTGTAGTGAAACATGTTCACCAGAAAAGAACAATAACAGTCATCACAGGGAAAGAAATAACGCAATTATCAAGAGATAACCAATAACAGCCGAAACAATGAACCCCTGATGATGACTAAAGGGTACTTGGCCGAAACGTTGTGTCTATAATAATACCTAAAGCAAACAAAGTGAGAACAATTATCAGAAATAGTTAAAGTATGTCATTCCTTGTTGAATTATATTATATAGTGCACACAGTAAGGATCGAACTCACTGCTAAGTAATAATGATCACTCAAACTAGCCTCGTTAATCACTACGCCACGACGAGGTGCCGCGTGGTAGGATCGCCTTCAATCCATTACAATAACATCAGGAAGCCTTCTTGCTGACAAATCAACCATAGTTGAGACTCGAACCCGGGTCTCGTGGTCAGGAAGTGAACGATCTAACCACTCAGCCACGTGCCTGTATGCGAACAATGCATACATACATATATAAATACATACAAAAAGGCTGCGATAGATAGAATAGATAGATAGATAGATAGATAGATAGATAGATAGATAGATAGAATGATAGATAGAATAGATATGAACAAACTAAGAAAGAAAGAAAAAAAAGAAAGAAAGAAAAGAAAGAAAAGAAAGAAAGAAAAGAAGAAAGAAAAAAAACAAAACAAACAAAAAAGAAAGAAAGAAAGAAAGAAAAAGAAAGAAAAGAAAAAAAAGAAAAAAAGAAAGAAAGAAAAAAGAAAAAAGAAAAAAAGAAAGAAAGAAAGAAAGAAAGAAAGAAAGAAAGAAAGAAAAAGAAAGAAAAAATAAAGAAAGAAACAAACAAACAAACAAACAAATCTAAAAACAATTTTTCTCCAAATAAAAATAATACATTCCAATCACCTCGGTGAAAGTTAATAGTTAACGTACAAATCTAACAGTTCATTATTATAGAGTAGTAAGTTTTACACCTCGGAGTGGAGTAATGGTTAAAGAGCTAGTCTAGTTGACCACAACTACAATGGAGTAATTTCGATTTTCATTGGGCATCACATAATTATGGGCTTGTGCCAAGCTAAGCTAATCTTAATGAATATTTAGGGCACCTCGAGGTGGTGTAATGGTTAACGAGCTAGTATATTTGAACACAACTGCAGGGGAATAATTTCAATTTTCATTGGGTATCGTATAATTATGGTCTTGTGCCGAGCTATGCTAAGCTCAGTTTATATTTAGAGCAACTCGGGATGGGGTAATGGCTAACAAGCTAGTCTAGTTGACCATTGCTAGAGAAAAGAACGAGGCTAATCCAAGCTTAATAAATAACTGACGTCTTTCTTTCAAAGAAGCATCCACCAGACCTGAAATCACTCAAGTCGATTGAGAAATTATTAAAACTTGCTCGAATGTCTAATGCGGACGAAAGCGATTTTGCATATCTCGTCTTTTTTACTCTTTTTCACCAGGGGGCGTAAGTATCGTCTTGCAAATGACAGGGGGGGGGGGGAAATGGTTGTTATTCGAACGGCTTTGCAGCTTCTTAATTCCAAGTTTATGTTTATTGTCTCTTTATTTTGTTTGTTGAATCGCTTACTTTATTCCATTAAGAACATATTTTTAAAATAAATTAAATTAAAAAAAAATGCCACTAAGCAATGATGTAGTTAATTACATTAACTACGTCTGGATATTTTATTACAAGTGAAGCAGATCGTGTGTTCACGTGTTTCAATACAGGCTTTTTACGAGAGTCGGTCAAAAAGTAATGCTTGTTATTCGTTAATCGTAACGGACTTAATGGAATGAAGCTAGCCATTGGAAAATGAACACAAAAGTCGCGAGACTCCAAAACCTTGTCTTCAATGTCGTCCCCTTCCTTCCAATGGTATAGCTAGAGTGTGTACCACCCGGGGCAGCCTTTGAGTAACCCGCCCTCACAAAAAAATACATATTGCACAGTGACTCACTCTTAAATTTATAAAACTAGTTTGTGTACCATTATAATATTACTTTCCCATGCTTGCAATGTTTAGTTTCTTGTATATAAAATTGTAATCATTGTAAATATTCATTGGCGTTTCATTTTTAAAAGTTATT